ATACAACGAAAGGAGACTGCGATTACATAAAAGGCCACACCATCTTGGTCTTCATACCTTCAATAGTTTGTAATGTTACGATAAAAATTAAGATTTAGGGTGCAGTTATTGAAAATATTGTCACATAAAGCCAAAGGACATTGGAAAACGAGAAGAATGATTGGGGTGACACATGTGAGGTTGAGCGAGTGATAACCAGAATTCGAGGAAATGTATGGCTGTATTGCGAAGCAATCTTATACAAGAAGGCATTAAAGTTAGTCCTTTATTCTTCCTAGAGAGCTGCGCCGATTTTGTTCGCTTGCAGTCAACCAAGGGATCACCAAGGGCATAGTGGAAAAAATTACTCCAAAATCCTTAACAATTAGTAACTATATCTTTTTTTCTCACTAATTTGTTCCGTAATTCATTCAAATACGAAATTTGTTAGCTAAACTAGTCTGCGTTTTATTTGATACTCTTTTAACTCTTTATATTAATTTTCGTATTATTAGGACAGTCTAATTGGGCAAGTGTTCTAGTCGCCATGTTTCACAATTAAGCGAAATCAATTGTATATACATCCAAAACAGACTTGGGATTTTTTTTAAATCATTAAAAAACTAATCTTCCCCTTAATATTCAGTAAGGATTCTAGCTTTCATTTGCCTAGAACATAAAAAGAAAAAATACCTACTACCAAAAAACCTTTTGCGCTAGTAACTCTATAAGTAGTGTATCTTATGATAAGGGTAAATGTCCCATATTAGAAATGAAGGAACCAAGTTAATTTAAATGTTTAGCGCATACTACTAATAGCACCAAATAAGTAGCAGATTCTATAAAAGCGTACTTAGACGGCGTGGTTTACTTTTTAAATATAATAGGAAACAAACTCTTATAGAATTTTTGTATGCTGTACAAATTAGATTGAGATTCAGTGGACAAAACGAGTGTCTTTGTATTAAATAAATGAATGCAACTTACTCGTCCACGTATCCAGCCCTTCCACCATCCTTGATCGCCCATATTGGTGCTGATTACACAAACACGCTCTCCGGCAAATAGTTTAAGAAAACGAAAATCCATTGGATCCGGTAGATAGTCGTGATTAACGTAAGCGTAAAGAAGAAGATCTGTGAACGGAGAGGTAGTGTAAAATGAAAGCATATACTAAAAGCTATGATGCTAAACGGTTGTTGCCAAAATATTATATTTGTCTCATAATAGTTGGAGAGGCAAATTTAGGTCTAATAGACAAATAGTATATATATACATATAGAAACAAAGAATTGAAACAATACGGATAAAATTCTTTCATAGAATAAATTAGATACCAATTGATAGGCTACTCAGAAATAGAAGGGTTTATACCGTCATCGAAAAGATTATCTGTAGCTCTGGTTATATTGTACAATAATCGATTGTATATAAACGATATGTAAAAAACTCCCTTCGCACAAATCATCTTAACAAATATAAATAGGAAAAGGTGATGAATCCCATTATTATACATTTAATGCCTAATAGCTATAATATGGTATCTCCAAATCTAGTGAGTAATTGCAAGCG